GTATGGGGAACATGGCTTCACTATCTATCTATCAAATGTTACAGGGATCTAATGAATGGTTCAGGATGTGGAACATGGCTTCACTATCTATCTATCTAATGTTACAGGGATCTAATGAATGGTTCAGGATGTGGAACATGGCTTCACTATCTATCTATCTAATTTTGCAGGGATCTAATGAATGGTTCAGTATGGGGAACATGGCTTCACTATCTATCTATAAAATGTTACAGGGATCTAAAGGATGGTTCAGTATGGGAAACATGGCTTCACTATCTATCTATCTAATGTTACAGGGATCTAATGAATGGTTCAGGATGTGGAACATGGCTTCACTATCTATCTGTCAAATGTTACAGTGATCTAATGAATGGTTCAGTAATGGGGAACATGGCTTCACTATATATCTATCAAATGTTACAGGGATCTAATGAATGGTTCAGTATGGGGAACATGGCTTCACTATCTATCTATCAAATGTTACAGGGATCTAAGGAATGGTTCAGTATGTGGAGCATGGTTTCACTATCTATCTATCTATCTAATGTTACACTTACAGGGATCTAATGAATGGTTCAGTGAGGGGAACATGGCTTCACTATCTACCTATCTGTTGTTGCTGTTCCAATGAAACACCAATGCAAGCTCCTGCAAATGAGGTAAACTTATTTTTTGCACATTTCAAACTTTAAATTGTGAATTTGACAAGAAAAGTTTTGCCAATTATATATATTTCATTTTCTTTTTCTACAACATGTTTTTCTAGGATGCTATAGACCGAGTTTTGAACTCTGGACAAGGAGAATTTAGATCTGAAGGAACGCAAACAGATCAGATCAGGACTACACAGACAGACACTCAAACAGAACCAGACAGACAAGCTAACATGGTGCAGCACGTGTGCACCACGTGTCAACGGAAAGATCTACTGCCGGTTCCGGTTCAAACAGAAAATAATCTAAACCCTGCCGCAATATTTCCTATAACAGAAACAACATAGACAACGCACAAAATTCAAGATTTTGCATGATATCGTAAAAAGTTTGAAAAGAGATTTCTGTATCTGACAATGTAATTTCGTCAGATTTTAAAACAACAGAGCAGCTTAATACTCTTCTTTCAAATCCTGTCATAGACGAAACACAAGTTCATTTAGTTTTTTCCTTTCCATAAACTTAAAGTTTATATTCTTTTTGATTTATTAATTAAATTCACTATAAAATGCGGGAATTGAAAACAGATTAATCGTAATAGTGAAGTATTTGTTTGGAAACTGCAGTTTCCATTTTTGTTTTCTCGGCATAGAAATCTGATTTCAGGACTCGAAAAGATTGCTGTTAAGTGAGAACTAGATAACCCCATACTTTAATACTATTCTCAATACAAAGCTCGCCGGAAATAAATCTTATACAGCTTTTCAAGGAAAACATATAAAAGAATAAAAACAAAATAATAAGAAACTAACAACAATCACACAATATTTCTTGCAATCCCAATTATAAGATTTTTAATATATAAACATGGGAAGATAACTATTTAACAACAAGTTACCCTTCCTTTCGAAATTTTGAAAGAAAAAACATTTCCAATTTGTTAAGCCTATGTAACCCCCGGGTACCCATGGGTTTCCTCAAAAAATGTCAGCCAATTTGTTCCAGCTGTTTGGCCAGCTATAGCTAACATATATAGCGAAGAGCCTTATATGTGTAGAAATTATGTAACAAAACCAAATTAACCGCATGTAATTAAATCAGTATTTTAGTCTAGTTAAACATTAAACTTAAACGGCTTTGCAAGCTTTTATGGTTTATTTTCCAGTACTGTACTAACTAACCTTGTAAAAACATCATTTTTTGCCACAAACTCAAATCTTCTAATTCCTATATCTTTAAAATCTGAAAGTGTAAACCTTAACATTAGGGATTAAAAAATCTGAGTTTGTGGCAAAGACTCAATTCCATTGTGCCATTTCATGCAATAATTTATCCTCAATATTTTGAATTACTACTACCGTCTGATGAACGCCGAAAAAAAAACTTTATTGATCTCATTTTATTATGGTAACAAACAGTACACTGTACAGTGAACAGTGAATGTACATATAGCTGTACAGTGTACAGTGTACAGTGTACACATCAATACCAAACTTCTCTTTGTCAACCTAATAAGCCCAAGAAATTAAGATTATTCGGCTTGAACTAATTTATAATTTAATCCCTACCAATACAAAATGTAATATAATCCTAAGTGAATACAATTTAATCCTGAGTAATACTGGATACAATACAATCCTGATTAATACAAATACAATGTAATCCCTACTAATACAGAATACAAAATAATCCTATTAGTAAAGAATACAATATAATCTTGAGTTTTAAAGAATACAATTTAATCCTGAGTAATACAGAATACAATATAATGAGTTTTAAAGAATACAATTTAATCCTGAGTAATACAGAATACAATATAATCCTGAGTAACAAAGATATTATGGGTCAGTTTAACTATACCTCCGTTACTGATGAATAAGCTATAAAAAAAATAATTTGAAAATTTATTTTCATTAATATTAAAAAAGTATATTACACAAGCTTATCACAGCCTTCTATTATATTAAGCATAACAATTTAGCTTGTTAATTTTTCAATTGCAAACACTTTTTTTATTTTACTCGTTCATTTGAATTTTAACATTTTTCGTATAATGATTGCTTTCTTGGTCTTGTTGGTAACCATTGTAGTTAAATTTTGTGCTTAATAATAAAGATCGTCCATTTGATATTTGTTTGTTTTATTATTTAGATCAGTATAAAGAGACTGTAGGTGTTATTTTTAGGGACCATTCAATTATAGAGTGTCATGTCTGATTCACGACGGTACCCTTTAAGCTTCTGTTTCAGTTACAAATATTTATTATTGAAGAATGAAGAGGTTACTTCTTTTTGAAATATTTGCTTTAGCTTTAAAGCAATTTTAAATTGAGGACTGAGGTCTGAATTAATTAGTCGGATTAAGTTGTTTCGGAACTGTAAGCGTAATTTGAAGCGACCCTCCATGCTTTTAAAATGTTAAAATTTTTGAAAACTTTTAATTTAAAATCGTGAATTCTCTACAAAAGTGAATCGTGCATTCCTACCGCAGGAAACAAGATAGGAATTATCAGAGATAAATACTTCTCAAGGTAGTAAAACGACATGTAATAGCCTCCACATTTTTGAGATGAACGCTCCAAAGATACCGCTGTGAATCGGGCATTGCCATGTTTGCATGGAGGGTCGCTTGATATTACGCTTACAGTCCCTTTAACGAGTCAACCCTGATAAGCTTTTTGTTATTTTAAACGATCCATTTCGTCACAGGAAGGACTACTGTCCCTGGTGTTGTGCAGCAGTTCATCTTTCAATCATTTCAACACAATTTGGACTTGGAAATTAATGTTATGACACTTGCCAATGTTCAGTTGTGTATTTTTAATGAAAAGAAACACATAAAAAATTATCTATCCTGAATAAATATCAATTGTGAAATTTTGTTATGAAATTACATTTTTTGTGTTTCCGTTTTTTTATACTTCAGACCATAAAGCGCATTCAATCATTTAATTCGATAATTTTTTAATTTTTACATTGCCTTTAATGTCTAACTTAGGTGTTGAAATGGTTAAAATGATGAACTGAAATGGTAAAAAAGTTAACTGAGGCACGCGACACCGGATCCGCATACTTCAAAAATGTACTGGATCATTCATAAGCTGCACGAAGTGCAGTTATTGGATGTATTCTGACTTTCTTTTCCTATTGTGAGGAAAAAGTTAATTTGATCAGAATTGGGAACTTTTGAATGATGGATATCGGGATTAATGCTTAATCCACTCTTTTTCTTAATCTCTAGATTAAATAATGCTTGTTCTCCTCTTGTTATTATACATCTCCAGAGCTGGGAACTTTTGAATGGTGGATATCGGGATAAATGCTTGATCTCATCTTTTTCTTAATCTCCAGATTTTATAATGCTTGTTCTCCTCTTGTTATTATAAATCTCCAGAGCTGGGAACTTTTGAATGGTGGATATCGGGATTAATGGTTGATCTCATCTTTTTCTTAATCTCCAGATTTTATAATGCTTGTTCTCCTCTTGTTTTTAATCTCCAGATTAATTAACTGATCCATATTCCATTCTAATGTTTTCAGCTCAGGTTTCTAAATTCTCTGTTATCCTGTTTAATTATAAAATATTGTCAGGGTTAATTTTAAAGTAAATCTCAATCTCCGCCAATTTTTATAGAAGAAGGTTAGTCCCAAAAAACATTGATTCTTCTAAAATCACCTCCAACACTTTTTTAGAATTTTGGGTGACAAGTTATAAAGGGGGTATGTCGGTCAAATTCTTTTTTTTTCCGTGATTTCCACCAAATCTTCCTGGCGGCTGGCAGTGGCCCCCCTTAATTGCAAAGTAAAATATACATTTTAAATTCGTAATTCTAAAGCTAAATATTGAATTAAGATAAACAAAACAGTTTAAATACTCCTTAATCTTCACAAATTAAACTTTAAATTTGCAAAATTGGCAAGGAGGAGAAGGAGTAGAATAAGAAGGGAGGCGAGGAGAGAGAAAGGTAAAGGAAGAAGGAGAAGGAGTAGAATAAGAAGGGAGGCTAGGAGAGAAAGAAGAAGAATAAGAAGGAGAAGGAGTAGAATAAGAAGGGAGGCTAGGAGAGAAAGAAGAATAATAAGAAAGAGAAGGAGTAGAATATAAGATGGGAGGCTAGGAGAGAAAGAAGAATAATAAGAAGAAAGAGGAGTAGAATAAGAAGGGAGGCTAGGAGAAAAAGGAGAAGAATAAGAAGGAGGAGGAGTAGAATTAGAAGGGAGGCTAGGAGAAAAAGGAGAAGGACAAGAAGAAGAAGGAGTAGAATAATAAGGAAGGGTAGGATAAGTAGGAGAAGAAGAAGACAAAAATTTCCTTTTTAATGTTTTTTTTACATCTTGGCAAAAATGATTTAGCTTTTACATTTAATCAACCCCCTTTCAAAACATTAAACAACCCTAATAAGTTTATTTATAGACAAAATATATAATATGCGGGTTACCCGGGACTAAAAGTTTAAATTCTTGATTACACGAAGTGATGGTTGAATAATCCTGCGGACATTTTCAAATTTTATTTCAAGACGGATCCATTGATTCCTAGAAGATAGATGAGGTATTCCTAGAAGATAGATTCCTAGAAGATAGATGAGAGATTCCTAGAAGATATATGAGGGATTCCTAGAAGATAGATGAGAGATTCCTAGAAGGTAGATGAGAGATTCCTAGAAGATAGTTGAGGGATTTCTAGAAGATAGACGAGGTATTACTAGAAGATAGATGAGGGATTTCTAGAAGATAGATGAGGGATTCCTAGAAGATAGATGAGGGATTCCTAGAAGATAGATGAGGGATTCCTAGAAGATAGATGAGAGATTCCTAGAAGATAGATGAGAGATTCCTAGAAGATAGATGAGGGATTTCTAGAAGATAGATGAGAGGTTCCTAGAAGATAGAAGAGGGATTCTTAGAAGATAGATGAGAGATTCCTAGAAGATAGATGAGGGATTCGACTAGAAGATAGATGAGAGATTCCTAGAAGATAGATGAGAGATTTCTAGAAGATAGATGAGAGATTCCTAGAAGATAGATGAGGGATTCCTAGAAGATAGATGAGAGATTCCTTTGAAGATAGATGAGGGATTCGACTAGAAGATAGATGAGGGATTTCTAGAAGATAGATGAGGGATTTCTAAAAGATAAATGAAGGATTCCTAGAAGATTATTGCCATTAAATTTTAATAACTTTTTGGTTCAGCCGTAACCTCCTTCCCCACTCGATTAACATTTAATTTTTACTATAAATATGTGCAGTACATTTATGATCTAAAAATTTATTATTTAAGTTGTGATTCTCAAAATTAAAGTTGATGTAGAGAATATATGACTCTTCAATAAGCAGAGAACATTTTCTATTGTTTATTAAGAAAGATTCTTGCTGCCTATAACAAGACTGATGAAAAATTTGAGAAGTTATCTTTATCTATCTATCTACATACACATTTATATATATGCATATAAATATAAAGATTAAAAGTGAATTGAATATTCAAGGTTTGAATATTTATGCAAAATATTAGCATTAACAGTCTCACTTTGCATAAGTAGATTAAACATATGTAACTTTGTTCAAATCCGAGGAATTTACATCAGATATTTGATTTAGAGTTTTCTGCCATTCTCATACATCAATTCCATTTCTCCAAACTAGTGTAGTCATGGGAAACGAACTAACGGCAAAAACCGTTACTATTGAGATTGAAAATAACCGTTAAAAAAACGAAAAAAAAGAGAACTAACAGCGACGGCCGTTTAATTATTATGGCTAAAATTGTGCGAAACCTACAGGAAATAAAAAATGATGTTTTTAAATATTGTATTCTTTTACCCAACCCCCCGGTCGGCGTGCATGGCACTGCAAACCAAGATGTGCCCACTATCACGCAAAAAACGAGCAGTATTTTGCCAATGACTTCTTTTAAACCAAAGCTTGAAAAAAACACGCTGCAATTGCATTATTAAAATTATTTTTTGTTTACTTGTAATCTTGAATTTAAAGCTGCTTGTTAGAAATCAAAACTCAAATCAAAAGTCGTCTTCATTGTATTGATTTAAACGCCTACAATTGAAATAAAGTTGGATTTTTTTTTAGAAGACAGAAGACAGCTCGTAGGGAAAGTGTTGTGACTGAGTATCATAATATCAATTCAACTAACCCATTAGTGACGAGACCAGTAACTATTAGTGAAGTTGTTTTAAAAGGATCTTGTCAAAACAAAACTTGATTGTACTCATGAAAAAATGATATTCAATTAAATTTTTGAATTTTTTTTGTACAGGGTGACCTGTAAAACATGAAAATCTAAAAAACTTTGGTAATTCATAATTATTTAATTATCTTCAAAACTTTACTTTTCATGTTTTAGTTTTTTAGATCTTTAAAAGAAGATTCCAAAAATATCTTTAAATTTTTTCTAGCAAAAAAATTGACAATTTTATAGATTCAAAACTAAATTACAGGGTGTTTTTTTGGGTTTTTTAAAATTGAAAATAAAATTTTAAAAAACCCAATTTTGAAGTTACGTCAAATATAGAATATGTTTTGAAAACAGGAAATCCTAAGGAAAGCGCAGGAAAAGGCACGACAACATTTAGTTTAAGAAAAAACCTCGCCCGGTCAAAATTGACGTTCTCGTCACTAATGGGCTAATTAGACCCAAAGTCTTTAAGTAGACAATACTTTCTAAATTCATTACTTTTAAACTAATAAAATGTGCTTTTGATTATATAAATTACTAATAAATCATTAATGATAACTCTTTAGTTCCTAACTCATTTTTACGCAAACAGAAACATATGTTTTAGGAATTGTAGACGTACTTTTAGGGTCTGTCCTAGAGAACGATTTTTGTACCCCCACCGGGTCCACCCCCTCCCCTCTTCTATCAATTTTGTACATGACCTAGATTTCAACTATTTTCAACTAATAAATATTTATTTTAGCAAAATCTGAATGGCAACTACCCTCACTACCCCAACTACCTTCAGTTTTTAAAGAGACCCCACCCCCACCCTTAAAGCTGAATCTGAATGGCAACTACCCTTACGACCCCAACTACTGTCTGTTTTTAGAAAGACCCCACTCCCACCCTTGAAGCTGAATCTGAATGGCAACTACCCTCACTACCCCAAC